ACATCTCCATTGGTGTCTTCAGCTCTATTGCAGTTGATGGAGCTCGATTCACCAAATAACAGGCGGTATTGACTGCTTCTGCCCAGAATGATTTTTCTAGGCCTGCTTCCCTCAATATTGCTCTTGTTCTTTCTAACAAGGTTCTGTTCATCCGCTCTGTCACTCCATTTTGTTGAGGAGTGTTCGCCACTGTGAACTGTCTTTTGATGCATTCTTTATTGCAAAAGTCATCAAATTCTTCGCTTGTGTATTCTCCTCCATTATTTGTTCTGAAACACTTGATCTTATTTCCAGAATCAAGTTCCACCCGCGCTTTGAAGTTTTTGAAAGTTGAAAACACGTCTGACTTCTTCTTAATAGGGTGCACCCAACATCTCCTGGAGTAGTCATCAATAAATGAGACAAAGTATTTTGCTCCACCTAGGGACGTTATTGGTGCTTGCCATACGTCAGAGTGAACCAATTCTAGAACACTTTTGCCTCTAGAATTTGATGTGTTGAATTTCAACCGGTGCTGCTTACTTGTTATGCAATGCTCACACAAAGGAAGTGATACCTTTGTTAAGTCTGGAAGTAGCTTTTGCTCCACAAGGACTTTCATTCCTTGTTCTGACATGTGTCCAAGTTTCTGATGCCATAGCATTGCCGAATCTGAACTACATGAGGCAACAGAGGCTTCTGCTTCTACCAAAGTCTCTCCCTTCAGCATGTACAAGTTTGCAGCTATTTTTTCGCCTTTCAGTACCACAAGCGCTCCACGGAACACTTTCATGATTCCTTTCCGTGTTTCAATCTTGCTTGCATTATTATCCAACAATCCGTAGGATAATAAATTTTTCTTCAGGCCTTTCACGTGCCGCACATCTCGAACAACTTTCATTGTTCCGTCATACATCTTCAATTTGATGGTTCCCACGCCAACGATCTCTAAGGCATGATCATTGCAACTATAAACAGATCCTCTTTGAGACAGGTTCATAATGATGGAACCATTCTCTTCTTGAGGTCATGTGATATGTTGCTCCCGAATCAATGAGCCATATATCTGCAAATCGTTTTCTTCCTTCCACGGTGGTTGACGCTTCACAGCATAGAGCATCTCCATCATCTGAAGTGTTTGCGGTATTGCCTTGTGGATTGGAGTTTTTATTTAGACTCCAACAATCCTTCTTCAGATGACCCTTCTTTCCACAGTTGTAACACTTTAAATTCTTCTTGCTCCTCGACTTCGATCTACCATGTTTGTGACTGCTGCTTTGGCCACGTTCTATTGATCTCCCTCTCATCGTTGTCATCGTTGTCAACGCTTCTGCTTGTTGCAGATTTACTTGTCTGTCTTCCTTGTTCTTGCGCCGATTTTCTTCTTGTAGAACAAACAACTGCAACGTCATCGAACACTAGACTGGTGACATTACTGTTTGTCAAGTTGATGATGAGTTGATCATACGAATCAGGTAGACTTTGAAGTAGAAGTTCATCACGTTCTTGTTCTCCTATTTTACAGCTTAAGGATGTAAGCTGAGAAAATAAAGTGTTCAGTGTATTTAAGTGCTCTGTCACTGAAGTAAATTCTGGCATACGGAGAGTGTACAATTTTCTCTTAAGGAAAATTTTATTGTGCAATGATGTGGCCTCGTACAGTTTGGTGAGATGATCACATATCTCCTTAGCTGTCTTCTTCTCTCCTCGATACTTGACAATACTTCATCTGCTAATGCTAGATGAAAGTTTGTCATAGCATTTCCGTCCATTTCGATCCATTTGTTGTCGTCTGTGAAATCTACTGCCCTTTCACTGATAGCTGCTAGATAACCGTCTTTCCTCAGGATGACCTTCATCTTCAATTTCCACAATGAGAAATTTCTCCCATTGAACTTTTCAATATCAAATTTCGTTGCCATTGCTTTGTTTACGGATAGCTCCCACTATTTCACTATCGTGAATAGTTCTCTAGAACCTTCAAAGAATGGGTAATAACTTCTTACTTTCTTATTGGAGGATCCACCTTTTGGTAGCAACCACAAAGACAATAAGCAGATATTACACACTCTAATCTAGCTCTGATACCAATTGTTGTGGAAGACGGCTATCGGATAGAGAAAAATCGTAACTGATAATTTGAGAAAATAAAAATGAAGATAAAAGAGACAAAATTTACGTGGAAAACCCCTAAAAATTTAGGGTAAAAACCACGGGCAACGGTAGAAGAATTTTACTACGAGAAAATATGAATTACAACCTCTCTCGATCTATCAAGGAGAAAACAATGATAATTCTCTCTAGATAAAAAGGAGAAAACAACTCTCAAGAAACTCTCTAAAATCTCTCTAGTATTGGAAGAAAACTAGAATGCTTTGGGATGGTTTTGAAGCTAAATGGGATAGGGTATTTATAGCTAAATCTTAAGGACTTAATCTTGTAAATACCATAAATTTTAATGATTAAAGTTTGTATTTTGCCCATTTAATTTTCAACCATTGGTGCACCTAATTTTAACAAATTAGTGTTGCCACCGAAAACAATTGAACAATTGCATGTACACCTAAATCAATTGCATAAATTTGTTTGACTTTTCCACACTTATCCCCTAAAATTATGGAGTTTTTTTGTTTGTTTGGTGATGGCACTATGTGGCTTTAGTGTTAACAAATAGCCGAGTTGAAACGGGAATCGGAAGAGCTTCGCCTAGGCGAGGAAGAGGAGGTGGCCATTGTTTTAGATCAACAAGAGTCGACTCCATCTATTTCTTTTGATAATTGTTTTGTTGGGTTTTTATCGACTTCCATTATGATCAATTTTCTTACGATATGTTAGATTCTGGAAAATGTTTGGCATCCAATCGGGAGATATTCATAACAAATTTGGGAGAGAATCGTACCTTTTCCAGTTATATCATGCAGTGGATGCCAATTGAATTGAGATGTAAGTCCCATGGTATTTCAACTCTCATTTGATAGTTCTTCATTGTCTTAAGGAGGGAAAGGACTCTATTGGTGCTTCTCCACTGGGTGGATTTTTAGATTAGGATTTCGGATTTGTCGGTTGGTTTTATTTCAGAGAAAGTGACGGTACAATTAGGTAATTTTATTGGGGAGTTTCTTATTTATGATATATTTGCTGTATCTCTTGGGTATGGGGATGTATCTGGGTCTGAATTAGTATTTAAATCAATAAACCTCTCAAGAGGAAAAAGAAATTAAGCAGCATGCATATGCGACGTTTCAGTATGAGAAATTGAAGATGTTTTGTTTCTTTTGTGGGAAACTTGGGCACAATGAAAGCTTTTGTCCTCTTCGTACATTGCAGGAGAAACAAACTCTTACCTTTCAATGGGATGCCTCGTTGAGGGCTCCTCCTCAACAGAGAGAGGCCTACCATAGCCCATGATTTCATGATGAGGTCATGAGCAGGGTGGTAAGGTTATGCAAAACTACCCGACTCGGTTGATCCAACCCCCGACCCGCACCTAAAATAACGGTAAATTTTCTAAAAAATTTATCCGGCCGGGTCGGATACCCGACCCGACATTTTTTGGGTCACAAAATTGAAGTTTTCTGGGTACTCGGGTACCCGATTATATATATATAATGAGTTATTTATATTATGGATTATTAGATTTTGTATTTTAAACTTTTAAATTTTATGTTCGGATGTTGGAGTATGTAATTCAAAATTTCGAACATTTAAATTTATGTATATATTTTTAAAATTAATAATTTAAAAATGAAAAAAATGGGTACCGGATATCTGAAATACTCAGGTACCCACAACATCCAAATCAAAACACGAGCTAATAAACCACTGACCCGGATATTACATATACCTGATAATTAGGTACCAAAAAATTTAGATACCCGGATTTGCACAGACAATGGGTAAGGAGAGAATGTGTTGAAATGAAATAATAATAAATTTTTTAAAATTAATTGGGTAAAATGAAAAGGATATGTCAGATAAAATTAATTATTACAAGTGAGAACATCATGACTGATTGAACAAAAGAAATTTTTGTATTGAACAAGATATTAGAAAATCAAAGTGTGGTTTTAGAAAGTAGAAGAGAGTGCAATTCATTGTAGGTGCAGTGGCAGATCTCTCTATATCAGGGTTGATATGTATTTACCCTAAAATCTGAATTTTATTCAATTAATTATTTATTTTATTGATTGTGTTTATTCCATACAAATATTTTATATTATTAATATATATATATGTCTATCTTAAAAATATTTTTGAATCCATCATTTATAAAGTTCAGTAAGATAGATTTGGATGCTTACACCTTATTTGAGGCAAAGATATCTATGACATTGATGTTCAGTAACATGTAATGAATGATGTCATTACTTAGGATGATATTTATGATAATGTTGTTGATATGATAAAGATACAGTATTGTTTAGATTTGATTAGGGTTTTTTTTAGAAGAGGCGAGGAAGATGATTGTTTTTGAGATTAAGATTTTATCATATATCTTATATATTTAAAATTTGTGTTAAAGAATTTTTTAGAGTTTGTGATCTGAATTTTTTCTATTTTGATCCGAAAAATTTATAACATAATCATAATTCATATTTAAAAGTATTATGTCATTTATATTTTTTCTCATCAAATCATTAATCCTATAAATATATAATAAGAATTATGATTATTGTTATTAGAAGTTGCCGTAAACCTCTTATAATTTTAATTTAATAGTGAAATTTTCATTTTTATTTATAATTTATTTAAGATTTTTCAGGTAAATCTACGTCTCATTTTATTATATATCCGTTTGTTTGTCAGTATTCTTGTACTTAACTCATACCAGACTGAAATAAGGGGGAAAAGAAGGCGGGAAATTATCTTAATTATTTATTGGAGCAGAAAAGAAATTGAAAACAAAGAAAGAATAGCATCAGAAATTAGAAACAATAAGAGATTAACTTTCAAAACTTGTTTGGGAATGTGTAAATTGCATAGAATCAGTAAAAGAAAAACTTTGTTGAAACAGAAAGCCTTCAAACTTTAAGAAATGTTAAATACAAACGTAGAACATACCGATCGATGAAGATTCTGATCTCAAGATGATTGAAAGGAAAGTAAAGAGGAGGAGACAGAACCAGCGCCTTCGGCGGCAAATCGACACCCGCGCTTCCCTTCCGTTTGGCTTGGGCTTTGGGGATGGAATTGGATCGTTGCTCGGGAAACGAAGAGTTTAGGTTTTCGATTGCGGTAACGCGACACTCTTGCCAATCCAGACAACTGAGGTCTCCGATCAACTCCTCTTGTGTCAGCCAGGCGTTGGACGAAATGCTGGCTCGTAAAGTGGAACGTGATGGATCTATCAGATCGAGCGTCTCCACCGCATCACTCAGCTCTTTCTAATCAGTAGTTCGGTCAATATAATAAGGTCACTAAAACTAAAGACGGACTAGTCAAACGGAGAAACGGAAACAGAGTTTTAATCGTCGATTACCTTAACTCCCTTGGGTTTCTTAAAACCGTGGATGGAGAAAATCTAAAGAAGAAGAAATAAATCAGATGATGAACAATAAGATTAGAAATCAAAAGAAACTGAAAAGTTAGAATGAGAGAGGAATTGATGGACCTGGTGGAGGGAATCGACGGTGAGAGGGAGTTGTTTGTGAGAGGAAAGGAAATCGATGTAGCCTTCTAAAGAAATCTTCCGCTTCTTTGATCCCATTGTAGACGACGATGACTGCTCTGAATTTGAATTCTCTTTCTTTCTCAAACTTTTCCAAATCAAAACCGTCTTCTTCTCAGTTTCTGCTTGTTATTGGGCACTTATAAGGATATCGGGTTGTTTAATTATAATAATTTAACTATCGAAACGATTTTTTCTTAAAAGTGAAAAAAATGTGATTTTGAAAATCACATTAATTTTTAATTTACCTCTTTCAATTAATTTTTAATTTAAAAATAAATGTGATTTAAAAAATCTCTCGTTTCAAAAAAATTTAGATTTTCTTTATGAAAAAAAGGGTTCGAAGAGTCGCCACCGATATTTGATTAGGGTGTGAATAGGCACTCAAAAATATTTTGTCATTTTAAATAAAAATTAATTTTAATTAAAACAACAAATTAAGATCTGCATTACCAAAAAATAAGTTCGGGAGTCAGTTACGTGTGGGGAAGGATTATCACCCCCACAACGCCCTAAATCGGTACCTAGTCGATTAATTAAAGTCTTTGCAATGAACTTTATAAATTTGAATTTAATTTGATTTTTATCCCATAAAACAAAGATGTGAATTTAATAATATTCAAAAGAACTCAAATAAATTAAATTAACATTACCGAGTCGTTTTAGAAAGATAAAGAGTGTTCGATTATTTACAAATATCGAGACCAGATCTTAAAAGCTATAACAACCTTTTCTCGATAAATTTAAATAAACGAACATTTCATTTTCTTTCGTTCCTAAATTTTAGGTGACAAATTAATTTTTGGTTTCACTTTCGGGATACACTTTTAATTTAAAATGGTCAAAACGATCCTATAATCAGTTAAGACAAGTCATTCAAGATAATTTTAAATTAAAAAAGTATTACCCTTAGTCCGATTATGTATTTGTCGAGTTATGCACATGAGGATATTATACAAATTATGCAATGTTATTTGAACAAAATATTATCATACTAAAAATGTTAAAACGTACGATGGAAAGTTATTACCATGTATAATAAATAAACCCACATAATGATAAAACAAATATGCTTAGTAAGAAAATTACCACCTTACACACGTGTCATAATATATAATATATGTATAACTCGTGTCCACCAAACAACAAATATATATACATACACTTATGCGCATGTTACCATGGAGAAACGACACATGGCATAATAAACTCATAAAATATACATATATTGAGCACACATGTCTCTAAACAAATGAACAAAGGGTTAAACTCCTGTAATCAGTCCTCCAATCGCATATAAAAAAATGCAACATAAATAAATACACAAATGTACATAAAAAAAGAGAACAACATGATGACCAAAACGAAAGGATAGGCAAAGTCAGAATTAAAAGCTTAACTTAGTCAAAGATCATATCATGGAGCGTAAATATTGATATCTTAGATACTAGCAGTGAAGTAAGCCCATAAATACACTTGGGGCTAGAATAAAAGTTTTGAAAATGGTATCCCGAGTGTACAAACAATGGAAAACTCAAAATGACTACACTTAGGGACTAAAACAGAAGGCTTAAAAATAGAGTGGTAAATCTAGAATTTAGAAAATATGAAAAGAGGCCTAAAATTGGATTTTACCCTAAAGCTTCAATGGCTAAAAATTAATTTACCCAAATGCTATAATATAAAACCTATTTTTCAACTAAACCTAGACTAAACTTACACCTACACTCACACACAGCCGCTCAAGCTGTCTTCCCCTCTACTCTCTCCCTCACGCTCACATGGTCGAAAACAAGGTTTCTCAAGCTAGATGAACTCCAAATGGCCACCATATCTTGGTGACCATTCCATACTCCGAACCAACACAGAATTCGACCGGGTAAGTTCCTAATCCTAACCCAAACACAACTAAATACTTGATGCTCTTCTAACCCTTTTTATTCAAAACCCCTGATCTAAAAAAACTTAACCCATATGCAAGGTTTCCCGACCGACTATCAACATTTGAACACCGACTCCGGCGACATACAACTCAGGTAAATCTCTAATCCTTCCCTATTTTCTATTTTGATTTCGACAGGAAAAAAAACAAAATAAATGCATGAAATATTTAAGAACAAAAATAAAAATAAAACCTTTTGAAAATGCCCTCTCTTTTAACGTGTATCACAGGATTTTGCCTTTGTTGTTGGATTTTCCGTTGTTGATGAACCCCTCTCATTTGTTGTTTTTCTTCACCTTTGCTTAAAAAATAAACACACGCACACACCATACTTTCCAATGTTTTGTTCTGATGCTTTGTATTGATGAAACCAAAAAAGAAAACCTTGTGTTTCTAAAAAATTGGTCTCAAATTTATTTTGTTTTTTTATTGTATCGCAAATGGTGAACCAGAAAATCTTTACAAATTGTTTTTTTTTATCGTTGATAATCTCTCGGATAATATATCTCCCTTTTTTTGTCTGTAATCTGTGATGCTTAATAATTTCTGGTTCCTTCCCTTTCCTTTTTTTCTTTGGCTCCGTCCTCTCCTCTGTTATGTGTTCCTTTTTCGTTTCTGGTGGTTAATTGTTCAATAAAAACTGACCCCCACCCCACTTTGTTTTGGTTAACTCCCGATAACCATTTTTCAATTTTCCTGGACTTCACGTGGACTGGCTTGGATGATAATGTTGATGGGTCATTGGGCTTGAACTGGGTCTTCAACGGGTTAGGTTATTCTTTAGGCATGTCATTGCTTCGGGTCTGCTCCGACATAACCCTGGACAAATCGAGTATCTACAGCTGCCCCTCTTTGATCATTGTCGTATAACGAGAATAGAGCAAAGATTAAAAGATGATCGAATTTGTCCGGTCATGAGAACTTCAAAAGATTAAACCACTCCACTGTTACTTTGGGATAAATGAAACTTGAAAAATCTTCAAATGATAAGTCTGCTCCCTATTTCTTCAGAGAGTATAGGACTTGATCTTCAACAAATATGTCCACTCCCTATTCCTTCAGAGAGTATAGGACTCGATCTTCAAAAAATGTGTCTGCTCCCTATTCCTTCAGAGAGTATAAGACTCGATCTTCAATAAACATGTCCGCTCCCTATTGCTTCAGAGAGTATGGAACTCGAACATCTTCTTCTTACGGGTTCGCTCCCTCTTTATCTAGGGAGTATGGAACTCGAACATTTTCTTCTTACGGGTTCGCTCCCTCTTTCTCTAGGGAGTATGGAACTCGAACATTTTCTTCTTACGGGTTCGCTCCCTCTTTCTCTAGGGAGTATGGAACTCGAACATCTTCTTCTTATGGGTTCACTCCCTCTTTCTCTAGGGAGTATGGAACTTGAACATGTTCTTCTGCTTTACTACTTTCTTGTGAAGACTTCTAGATGATTTGCTTCACTACTCTCTCGTGAAGACTTAAGTTTGATTTTCTTCGAAGGTCGAACCTGAAAATCAAACATTATCAATCATTAATGTGTGCTTGAAAATTTGAAAATCATTATACTCAAAAATTTAGAATTTAAGAGAATCTTTTCGAATTCATTTCTCTTGTGAGAGTTTGTCTCGCCGCAACTAAATACGAGAGTCTTCCTTGACTTGACTGTCATTTGAACCCCTCCCTTCCTGGGATATTGAATCGGTTAATAACTCCTCACGCACGTTTCCTTTTCTTTGTACTCGAGAAATTTTACTTTTTCTCCTACATCTGATAGTCTGATGGTTTGCTCCAACACTCTTCCGAGAAGGCTTAAAAAGGATATGCTTCACTACTCTTCGGTGAAGGCTTAAGATAGTTTGCTTCACTACTCTTTGGTGAAGGCTCAAAATGGATTTGCTTCACTACTCTTTGGTGAAGACTTGGCTTTGCCCCAATCTTCTGTGTACAAGTCACTTTAATTGAGTGATTCCTCTCTTCATACGTGAACATCTCTATTTTTCTTCTATATCTGATGGTTATCACTTTAGAGTAATGCTTCTTCTGTGGATTAGACCTCTCAATTCTTCAGGGTATGCCTCTCTAAACGTGATTTCTTGCTTTTGAGGTTTAAAATCTTCCTTTCAACTTGTTGGCCTTTTGACATCATGCATCTTCTCTTTTCACTGGAAGATCTATCAAAACCATGTGTTTATGCATGAAACACGAACACAAATGCAATTAAATGTATTAGTGTAATGCATTTTCTTTTATGCAAATGATGTTCTCATGAATGCATAAATGTCGATTCCATCTTCATTTGACTTCAAAGTGGTGAACTTAGTCTTCTTATACTTGATCATTCCTTTCCAGGGTCTGCTTTATATACCCGTGTAGCAACTCATAGTTTCCAACTTGCATTTTTGCGAGCCCTCTGCTTTTCTTCTATCTCCTTATCGTCTTTGTTATCTATCTTTATTTCGGAGAAAGTGTTTTATCTCTCAACTTCTTGCTATGGTCAGAAGCATGATTGTGTTGCCCCGTTTTTGGAGACTATGTACATGACTGCGCCAAACTCCACAAAGATCAATGGGATAGTTGCATCTATTATGCTTTAACTCATATCACAAGGAGGATTTATCCCAATTTTTCATGTCACCACATCATTTTTCATTTTAACCTTGGAGTTACGTATGACAACCTTCATCTCGGATAATGGAAACAACACATGATCGCAACATTGATTAAGCATCATATTTACTGGTTCGTAAATCATTTGTCAACACATTCATCTTTTCTTGTGGCTTCTGCCCATACTTTTAACCAGAGAAGCTCTTTGCATAACGTCCAGAGTTTTTGTATGGGATTACAAGAATACCAAAACTCAATAAAGATTAAAGTGGGATGTTTCTACTCGCCAACATTGATGCATGTGACATCACCAGAATAATGCAACTGATGATGGAAAAAATGATCATATATGGTAAACTCCACTATCACTGTTTCACCATTTTCATTCTTCATACATTTTTATCCTCTTGGAACCATTTTTCAATTCAATGATCGTTCCACAGGTCTTCATTGGCTTCCAAAGATGCCCCACAATAATACCTCTAGCTGAAGCAAGCCTTCACTAATGTCGCAACATTATCTTATTCAAGTAAGAGCCTTCAAAATGCCCCAACACCTCAAATTATAAGGCTCATTTTCAATGCCTTCTTGGTCTGAATCTTATCATCTCAACATGATGTGGGTTCAGTCGTGCCCCGATATTATCTCATACTGGTACGGGCCTTCAAAATGCCCCAATGTGGGTATTCATGGCTCTCTCGTACCAAAATCTCTTAACCTTGAATGCTCACATTCTAGTGTCACTACACAACAGTGTAGCTGAATATCTTGAGGGCTTCTCTTCAAGTTGCCTTAAACACTTAAGAAATGATTAGTTCTAACATAATGTCTTACATTTTGTTATGAGCTGGGATATGTGAGCCCTACTCTTCAAATAAAACGATCATCTTAGTCTTGATTGGTCGCACACTTGCATCTATGCTATGCACTAGGATATATGCCTCATTCCATATGGTGACCATCTTCTTGACTGGTTACTGACAACGTCACAAAGGAGTGTTACAAGCTCCATTCCTCAGTCCTTCTGATCTCTCGGACTATTTGCTATAAACACTATGGAATGCTTCAGGTTCTGGCATCGCTTATTCTTTCTTCAATGGAGGCAAAAAGAGCCTCGTCAGCGTCAAGGACCTTTCACATTTGAGACTATCCTGTTTGAAAATATTTTTCCCCTTTCTCTTATTTTAGGGATCAAAGAATAAAATAATCTTGTATAATACTGCCCCTTAATTCAGACTCACAATTGAATCAAATCATAAACAAGAGTTCACAGAATATCAAAAGAATCAATAGCTCTTTAATATTTTCAGGGTTATAGCTCTTTGACAAGTGTCAAAATTGAGGGGTTGGCTTCAGGTTGGCTTCCTATTTTCTAAGATTTCAACCACCGAAATATCATTTCCTTCTAAGTCATCGTGAATATTGCAACATGCCCTTCTTTTTTTGGCTTGGTATTTTAATCAGATGCGGACAAAATGACGCAACTAGCATAATTCATTACTAGACTTTCTAGAACACTTCTATTTCAGTTCTATGAAATCTTCCATTTGTTCAAGCCTCGTAGACTCCTCTAACCAAGGCAGTGCAGAAATATCGATCTAAAAATGAAATTTCTGAGTGCACGTGTGAAATTGACTATAACAGGTGTTCCTTATCTCCCTTAGTCCATTTTTGCCACTAACTCCTTATTTATAAAATTGATTTAATTTTCCATTGTCTGGCTAGCTGAAATCAGCTTTATTGTAATTTGCCTTTATCGGGCTAGCTGAAGGATTCATCTCATCATAAAGTCTTTGACTTCACAATCACAGTGGAGCATACACCGAATTGCGAGTACCCGATTAACGTCATGGTTTGAATATAATCTATTCATAAAGCCAGAGTTTTCGAGTTTCCTCTATAACCAATTGCTTTAGCGGAATAGCTCAGCTTTATTGTATACATATAATATAATCATCTTTATCAGGGTAGCTGAATTCTATCCATAAAGCCGGGCTTTTAACCAACTGCTCTAGAGGGACAGCTCAAGCTTTATTATATACATATACTATTATAATCTGGGTATACGGATCCAATTTCTTAAGCTTGTCAATAAGAACCTGTCATAGTCTAGGTGTTGTTGAAAGTCAGAAAATCTCATCGTTAGAGTTCAATTCCCAAGCAACTGACCTAAACTAGACTCATCTACTCGACTATTCCATCCGTAAAGATCATAATCATCATCGAACGTCGTCAACAAAAGTATGGTCTAGATAGTTTTGTAATGTCATATGCAAAAGATGGCCCATGTTGTCCGCTCCTATGCATACCTGAATACCAAGCCTATGGTTCATTCTATTATGATAGAAGAAGGCTATATCTGTACCTGCAATAAAAAGGTATGGTGTTCAATTGTATCTTCTGGGGATAAGGTCAAGGTCCTTGTTTTATCATGTTTCAACCTTGTCATTTTGTCAAAAATTTATAACTCTAACCATTAAAGAGCTTTTAATTCAATTGATATTCAAAGAATTTCAAATCATGAATTTGATTCAATGATCACCATTCTTAAAGTAACATGAGTTCATTTAAATATCATTATATAAAAAAACTGAGAATGGATGAAAAACAAGTTCAAACATGATGTTGCAAATGGGAAATGCGATTGTGGTGGAGCACAACCTTTTCAACCAAAAGGCCCTATTTTCCCTAGAATGATGGGTGCCCCGTTGGATTAGGGTTTTCATCCGCATTCTCTCCCCATATCTCGATCATTTCTTGTGTCAGGACTCCTTTATCAATGAGATTTTCTATCTCTTCCATCAACGGTATGCATTTGTCAGTGAGATGACCTAATGCCCCCATATGAAAATCATAAGCACTATTCGGGTCGTAGCCATAAGCAGATGGGCTAGTCTTTATTCTTAATGGCCTTGGAGTGAGGTACTGATTCTTGATTAAAGGGGATAACAAGTCAGAAATGGGCACTTGAAAAACCTTGAGGGTCGTATTTTCCCAAGACATCTTCTGCGGCCAGTCTCGGACTACCTCTCCTTTAACTTTCTTCTTGTTATTTCTCACTTCTATATTCTTTTTTAGCGTCAGAGAGGTCTCAAGAGTTGAGTCCTTTATCTCTGCTTTACATATCTTGCTTTCCTTGATTTTTTTTTCTCATTTTCAACACTCTCTTCGGCATGTACTTCACTTGTTTCAACCACATCAATTTCATTCTGGCAATTGACTTTCAACTGCTGAGCATCCACCTCTATAACTCCATGAGCCAAAAGATCTCGAACCTATCGCTTTAAGTTGCTACAATTCTCGATAGAGTGTCCTCGGGCTCCAGCATGATATTCACAAGTAACATCCTCATTATACCAACTCGGATAAGGGGGCAGCAAAGGCTTGGCCAGACGTGGGACAATCAGTTGGGCTTGGAGCAACGTTAGATATATCTGGCTATATGAAAACTCTTTTGATCTCACTTTCTCCTTTCCGTTATTATGATCATATTGACGACCTTGTGACTGACCATTGGAACATTCGCTTTGAAGGTTTAACGTTTGACCAATATCTTGGGAGAGACATTGATTTGCATATCTCCCTTCATCGACAAGTTTTGAGCTTCCGGGGACTTAGGTTTTCCATTTTCAAAGCATAACAACCCTTCCGTGATGAAGTTTTGAACTTTAAATCTCAGGATCGAACAATCTTCTGTAGAGTGGCTAAACTCTTGAGAATGATAACCACATGATCTCTTGACACCTTTCCAGTCTGGACGCAAATAAGTATTGTACCTCGGAGGAAAAGGCTTTAGAAGCCCACTTTCAAAGAGAAAGGGTAACAAGTCTGAATATGAGATCGGAATCGGAACCATAGGTGTCCTCTTCTTTTCTTTCTATTCTTTTTGGCCTTCTTTACTGGCACTTGAACCTCCTCTATGCCTCTTTTCTTTGAGTCCGATTCCACTTTCGTATTAGAAGTCTCACCCTTAACTTCTGCTTTTCCCAGTATGATCTCCGTAGCATCTTCTGGAATCTTACTTAATTTTTGGAGTTGAATTGAATTACCACATCCCCTAACATGTTCTTGATCAGTTGCTATCATCACATTGGTTGTACCACTAACATTCAGATTCTCACCCGAAGTCTTCATATTTTCTTGTGTAGTAGGGTCATCTGATGATTTCTCCCCATATATCACTGTAATCATCATGCTCATCAACTTGGACATCTGTCCCCTGGATTCAACTTGGAACTTCCTTGCTTCATCAATCATTTCTTGTTGGGTCCTTACGAGTTGTTCTTGAATTCTCTCGATCTTACTAACTCGTGCTAAGATCTCATTCATTGTTGTCCATCTTTCCAGAAACACGTCTCAGGGTAACTTCAATTTAATTTCAGAGCTTCTGCCACATCATCTTTCACGAGTTACTCTCATATTTTCATGATTTATGCATGTAAAAATGCTTAAATTAAAGCGATGTGAATGCAAATGTGGATGCAAAAATGCAAATGCAAAAGGTTTTAATCCTAAAAGTGACCACTATAGAACACCCTTCATTTAGACAACAAGATTTCATTACATCATGTAATCAAAATACAATTGTGATTCTTCATTTCCTTGAACCATACTCTTCATGGAATCTGGCATTGCATCTCCAAAATGGTCGGCGTATTTTATCACATTTGATGAAATCGATTGTCCTTGAATCGAATCTTGGGATCTCCATCTCCACTTTCAATGGAAAGTGCTTTGTGAAGGGTCTTCTCGTCCTTGGCATTACTGCATCTATATCCTGAGGGAACATCTTCAAGATGTCTTTCTTTGTGGATCGGTCTTCAATCAGTTTCAAATTTCTTCATTCATCGGATGTCCTTCTTCATGAATCCTTCTTTAGTCAGGTTCAAATTTCTTCATTCGTCGAATGTTCTTCTTCATGAATCATCTGAATGCCTCTGGATCTCCAGATTTTGATTACATGGTTAAGAATTTCTTGTCTCATTATGACCAACCTTCTTATTAGTCAATCACTTGTGAATTAACACCTTGTGATGACATGAAGATGTGAATGTAATAAAATCAAAATAAAATAGACATAGAACAAAAATGGGTTAGTGCACATAATATAAAAAACAAAATAAGTACCATAAACATCAAATAAAACCTACCCTCACATGTTGGCTACCCAATCATGCTTTAGTAGATCCTACCCAACATGATATCTACCCCCATGCTTTGTTTGAACATTAAAACCCTAACCGCATAATATCTAATTCACATGCTTGCTTGACAAATAAACCTAACCGCATGATATCTAGTTCACACGCATTTATTCGAAAAAACGAAAATGAATGACTCAAAAAGCTTTTCCTTGTGTACCCTCCTCATGGGACTCTTAAGGTTCGGGTTTGGCTCGACCTAAGTTTGGGCTCTATGTTCACTATATGCTTGGTTCGGTTCTAAAGTAATAGGTTCTCGAATTGTCCTTGTCGGTGCCCCCTTGGGCTGTCGAACCCTCAATCCTAGCTCATCACAGGCTTTAGGGGATCGAGTTCAATTTCGAGGGAACACCCCCCTTATGTCCATGCAGATGTGAATACCATCACGAGGACTATAAGGCGTGAGCTCCAGGAGCGATCCACTATCCCATGCGGAGGTGAAAACCACACGAGGGCATAGTCTCTCACTCCTACTTAATTAGGATGGAGTGGGGTTTTAGCTCATGTCATGAAAATGCAACTGTGCAGTGTGTGAGGAAAAGCGAAAAAACACATAATAAAAGCACTCAAAAATCAATTCTCAATTCACAAATAATCTGAAACCATTAGCAAACATATCAGTATAACTATTTAATTGTTAATCGAATTAAATCAAAAACCAAACAAAACTTATTAAAAAACCAAACAAGGGATAAAAAACCAAATTAAAACAAATTTATAACTTTCAATTGCAAAGACACATAATTAATCGACTATCGGCCTGACTCTAAAAAAAAGTCCCCAGCAGAGTCGCCAAGCTGTCGAAACGATTTTTCCTTAAAAGTGAAAAAATGAGATTTTGAAAACCACATTAATTTTTAATTTACCTCTTTCAATTGATTTTTAATTTAAAAACAAATGCGATTTAAAAAACCTCTCGTTTCGAAAATTTTTAGATTTCCTTTATGATAAAAAAAGGGTTCGAAGAGTCACCACCAATCCTTGATTAGGGTGTGAATGGGCACCCAAAAATGTTTTGTCATTTTAAATAAAAATTAATTTTAATTAAAACAACAAATTAAGATCTGCATTACCAAAAAATAAGTTCGGGAGTCGGTTACGTGTGGGGAATGATTAGCACCCCAATAACGCCCTAAATCGGTACCTAGTTGATTAATTAACGTCTTTGCAATGAACTTTATAAATTCGAATTTAATTTGATTTTTATCCCATAAAACAAAGATGTGAATTTAATAATATTCAAAAGAACTCAAATAAATTAAATTAACATTACCAAGTCGTTTTAGAAAGATAAAGAGTGTTCGATTATTTACAAATATCGAGACCAGATCTTAAAAGCTATAACAACATTTTCTTGATAAATTTAAATAAACGAACATTTCATTTTCTTTCGTTCCCAAATTTTAGGTGACAAATCAATTTTTGGTTTACTTTTGGGATACACTTTTAATTTAAAATGGTCAAAACGACCCCCTAATCAGTTAAGACAAGCCATTCAAGATAATTTTAAATTAAAAAGGTATTACCCTTAGTCCGATTATGTATTTGTCGAGTTATGCACATGAGGATATTATACAAATTATGCAATGTTATTCGAACAAAATATTATCATACTAAAAATGTTAAAACGTACGATGGAAAGTTATCACCATGTATAATAAATAAACCCACGTAATGATAAAACAAATATGCTTAGTAAGAAAATTACCACCTTACACACGTGTCATAATATATAATATATGTATGACCCGTGTCCACCTAACAACAAATATATATACATACACTTATGCGCATGTTACCATGGAGAAACGACACATGCATAATAAACTCATAAAATATACATATATTGAGCACACATGTCTCCAAACAAATGAACAAAGGGTTAAACTCCTATAATCAGTCCTCCAATTGTATATAAAAAAAATGCAACATAAATAAATACACAAATGTACATAAAAAAAGAGAACAACATGATGACCAAAACGAAAGGATAGGCAAAGTCAGAATTAAAAGCTTAACTTAGTCAAAGATCATATCATGGAGCGTAAATATTGATATCTTAGATACTAGCAGTGAAGTAAGCCCATAAATACACTTGGGGCTAAATTAAAAGTTTTGAAAATGGTATCCCGAGTGTACAAACAATGGAAAACTCAAAATGACTACACTTAGGGACTAAAACAGAAGGCTCAAAAATAGAGTGGTAAATCTAGAATTTAGAAAATATGAAAAGAGGCCTAAAACTGGATTTTACCCTAAAGCTTCAATGGCTAAAAATTAATTTACCCAAATGCTATAATATAAAACCTATTTTTCAACTAAACCTAGACTAAACTTACACCTACACTCACACACAGCCGCTCAAGCTGTCTTCCCCTCTACTCTCTCCCTCACGCTCATATGGTCGAAAACAAGGTTTCTCAAGCTAGATGAACTCCAAATGGCCACCATATCTTGGTGACCATTCCATACTCTGAACCGACACAGAATTCGACCGGGTAAGTTCCTAATCCTAACCCAAACACAACTAAATACTTGATGCTCTTCTAACCCTTTTTATTCAAAACCCCCGATCTAAAAAAACTTAACCCATATGCAAGGTTTCCCGACCGACTATCAACATTTGAACACCGACTCTGGCGACATACAACTCAGGTAAATCTTAATCCTTCCCTATTTTCTATTTTGATTTTGACAGGAAAAAAAACAAAATAAATGCATGAAATATTTAAGAACAAAAATAAAAATAAAACTTTTTGAAAATACCCTCTCTTTTAAAGTGTATCACTGGATTTTGCCTTTGTTGTTGGATTGTTAATGGAAATGATGTATTGCTTTCGTTTTCTGTTGTTGATGAACTCCTCTCATTTGTTGTTTTTCTTCACCTTTGCTTCAAAAATTAACACACGCACACACCATACTTTCCAATGTTTTGTTCTGCTGCTTTGTATTGATGACACCAAAAAAGAAAACCTTGTGTTTCTAAAAAATTGGTCTCAAATTTATTTTGTTTTTTATTGCTTCGCAAATGGTGAACCAGAAAATCTTTACAAATTGTTTTTTTTATCGCTGATAATCTCTCGGATAATATCTCTCCCTTTTTTTGTCTGTAATCTGTGGTGCTTAATAATTTCTGGTTCCTTCCCTTTCCTTTTTTTCTTTGGCTCCTTCCTCTCCTCTGTTATGTGTTCCTTTTCCATTTCTGGTGGTTAATTGTTCATTAAAAACTGACCCCCACCCCACTTTGTTTTGGTTAACTCCGATAACCATTTTTTCGGTTTTCCTAGACTTCACATGGACTGGCTTGGATGATAATGTTGCTGGGTCATTGGGCTTGAACTGGGTCTTCAACGGGTTAGGTTCTTCTTTAGGCTTGTCATTGCTTCGGGTCTGCTCCGACATAACCCTGGACAAATCGAGTATCTACAATTAGTATAAAAATTAATTAATCAGATAGAAAGATTAGATAGGTCATGACAAAATTAATTTTAAAGAAACGATTATTTCACAGTAAAGTTGTTATTTTATTATTTTCGGCCATTTTATTTTATTATTCAGTCTAATGAATTGCAGCAATATATTTCTAATAACTTAGAAGTAACTTATTAAAATCATTTTTTAGGTTTAAAAATATTTTTATTTGAAATCACGATGTGTTAAAAATTAGAGTCTTTTGAGCAAGGTACCATTAGAGAATTACTATTATCTTATTTTTATTCTCTTTACATCACTGATTTTATAAAAGTAATAGTTTGGTCACTTTATATTATCGATGTATAAGACTAAGTGTAATTAATTAGTTAATGACATGATAGGTTATTAAAAGGAATTAATTTTTAATTTAACCCTTAAATTTTAGAGAAAATAACCTCAGTGACAAAAAATACCTTATAATATACGATTTTAACCAACTTTTTTTTGGATTTGCCAAAATGACCAACTAAATCGCAATGCGATCAATAATTCGCAACGCGATCTCCGGTATCGCAAATCAGTTTCCAGATTCGCAACGCGAACTTCGACTATCGCAACGCGAACTTGGACTATCGCAATGCAAACTTGGACTATCGCAATGCGATTTACATATTCGCATTGCGATAGTCCAAGTTCGCGTTGCGATAGTCCAAGTTCGCGTTGCGATTTTCCAAATTCGTTGCAATAGTCGAAGTTCGCGTTGCGATTTATTCCAAATTCGTTGTGATAGTCCAAAATCGTAACGACTGGTGGTATTGCATTTGTTTCTTAAGAAGACCACGACCACGAGACGAGACGAGACGAGACGGCGGCGGCGGCGGCGCGCGAGAGTCTCCCTTGTTCTCTATCACTCAACAAGGAAGTGGGAAAGCCAAGCCTTAAATACCATTCCCAATAGTGTTTCCAATACTATGTGGGATTGAGCATTACCAACACTTGTTTCCAATACAATGTGATTATTC